TGACTCCATAGTGAATTTCAGCATAGTTTAGTGACACAAATACATAATATTCTTTTGTGATTTTGACATTTTAGGGCTGTACTAAACCACAAGAATCTTTTGGGGTTTTCAAACTAAGCTTTGGATACCTGTCTAAATATTTGCTGCAACACAAACCATTAACACAGATGCTTTGATGTACAAGACTAAACGCTCCCTTTGTGTTTGAGAGAGAGCTGATGGAGAATGGAGACATTCTAAGCGTCTTTTCACTGTGTTTATTTCCTTCATCAAATTGCAGGTATTGCACAATGAGATGTTACATTTCCAACATGGCAGGGTGAAAAAAGGTCTCTTGATGACATTTTCTCTTCGCGATGCAGCACAAAGAGAGAGAGTGGCAGCTCATCACGATGTGTCAAAAAAGCTTTTGTCCTTAAAGACTAACCTTAAAGATAAGATAAGATAAAGTAGTACTTTATTGATCCCAATTTGGGACATTGTTGCATTTCAGCAGCATAAAAGACATGGCATTGTACAATACAAATGTAAAAGACTAGAAATAAACAAAGATGCGTTGTTGATAAGTTCATCAACCATCATCGTTAACCTGTTAAGCCCTGAGCCTGTTTTTCAGGCCTCAGGCTCGAAAATGACATTCATTACATTTCATTTAGCTGACGCTTTTATCCAAAGCGACTTACAATTACCAATTACAGGGACATTCTCCCTGGAGTAACTAAGGGCTAAGTGCCTTACTCAAGGGCACACTAGTGGTGGTGTTCCTGGCGGGATTTGAACTCACAACCTTCTGATCTTCAGCCCACCTCACTATCCATTAGAGAATAGAGATATTCATGTACAAACAGAACAGCAGACACATTTTAACACAAATCAAGCAGAACATTTACCTGGTTCTCTTTAATCAGCTCCTCTGCAGACAGAAGCTCCACCAGGCGGGAGGACGGTTTCCGTCTAACTTCAGCATGGTGCTGTTTAAGAGACATGTCAATTATTGTAGCGAACAAACATAACTGTAAGTACAGAAAGATGACAAAGATTATGCCTTAACTTCAATTTAACGCGCTACAGAAGGAGGCACCAACAGTTCAACTTCTAATAAAGTCACTATTGTCCCAGAAGTCTCCCTGGATCACCCCTCTCCTTCTTTAGGCTGCAGTGAAACAGGCCGCATCACACAGAGGGGCCCACAGGCAGTTTACACAGAACAGTGGCCATGGCAGTGAATGTGACATACCCTTTTTTTAGGAATCTGGTGCCGCTATCTGTCTCAGTGTACACAGAAAATAAAAGCACACATGTGCATCACACACAGTCGGATGCATGTGAGTGAATTGACTTGACTCCCACAGTAAAGGAAAACTCAGTTTGGCGACACACTGCTTTACTACCGAGCAGCATTTGAAAATGTAGCGCGAACACCACCCCAAGTAAAAAAAACTATTCTGAACTACTAATGCCCCACTGCCACATTTTTTATTCAAAACGGTGAATTTCGCCAGCTGAACACTAATTTGAAGCAACGACTAAACCACTAAATTTGTGTGTGCCTCCTCCATGAAAGCAGGCTAAATTGGCTAGCACGCTAACTAGCTAAATTGCTAAGCTGAAACACTGATGTTAGCTAACGTTTGTTTGATGTCCACATTAAGCTAACTAGGGTGGACAGAGTTAATAAAGTACAACAATATACTTACATGATTCAAAATCCACGAGTATTCATATTACACGAGGGTCCATGCTCTCTTCTCTTCAACTCGAACCGTCTGCTTTTTTTCAATTGTCTGTACTGTGCGCAAACTCCTCGTTTTTATCAGTGCACCTGGATCAGCAAGGTCTCACCTCTACTAACTTCTGAAGAACTACTGTTGGTTCAATTATCTGCTGTTTCAATTCAGACGACACACTAAATCTGTTTAAGTGACCCCGTAGGATTTTGGTATCAGTAATGAGGTGTGGCCCTGCCTAAGTGTGAGTGTGGCAGTTGTGCAATCTTACCTTAAAGCAGGAGAGGAGAGCTCTGATTTATTTTAAAGGGGACCTATCATGCAAAATGCACTTTTGTACGTCTTTTACACATGAATATGTGTCCCCGGTGTTCCAGGGAACTCACCAAGTGTCAGAAAACACAACCCTCTCTATTTTCCTCCATACCCAAATCTCTAAAAAAGGGGCTGCAACGGATCTTATAAAAACTGATCCAGATTTGAACACTGTCCTGACGTCTGGAGACGCTGTAGTACATATGCCAGGCCTGTAGGTGGTGCTGTTCTCACAGAATCAGCCCTTGCAAAAACAGGGGTAAAATAGTGCAAATTGAGCAAAATGAGGCATGGCTAAAATGCATGATCTGTTTGGTATTTTGAAAAAAAAAAAGTATAAATATGCCTTATATAGGTATGGTCCTACACTATATTATTATAATATAGCATGATAGGTCCACTTTAAGTTATCCCAATCCAAAAGGGTGGGATGATTTTATTTGAAGAAAATGGTCCACACTTTTACAGGGTTTTTACCTTCTCTCGTTACAATGTGACAATCATACAAAACATATCATGCTGTAGTCCTTTTCTAATATAAAACCTCAATTCACAGTTTTACATTTCTTATTCTATTTCGTAAATCTCTCTTCAACTGTCCCTCTAAAGTTGTGACATTAAATTCAAACTTCAACTGGCCCTCTTTAGTTGTGATATTCATTTCAAACTTCAACTGGCCCTCTTCAGTTGTGATATTCATTTCAACGGCCCTCTTCCGTTGGTTTTAGTAAAACAGTCAAAACAAAACCAATTTGAGAGAATTTATCAGGGAAAATCCCGCTCTGGAGCTTTCTCACTCTCAGCTAGTGCTTTTATGATTCACACAAGGACCGAAAACCAAAGACACCTCCTTCATACCCATATATGTGAGAGAAGGAGAGAAGGTCATGACCTCTGGTGTGCAGGACGGGACATGTGCAGACATATTCTCCTATGGTGTGGCCTAAACACATTGTAGGGCTCCAGTACTTTTCCATTGAGTCAGGGGTCTCCTCTGTACAGCCTGATGTGAGTGAAGACAACTGTCTGCCCTCTTTAAACAGTGACACCCATAGTGATAAACTATAATAGGCCTTAAACTCAATTTACCAAACCACTTATGTTTGTATATACTATGATTATAGAACAACATGAAATATAATGCATTTTCATTGTTGGTTATACAAGAATATATTTGATTATATTAACCTTCGTTTTAATTATTCAACTTAATATGGAAACCTCAGAGGTGTGTACTGTTAAAAGGTTACGGTTTTTACTCAGACCGGGCATAAAAGGTGTGACCCACACATCACCACGAGGTACCAACAAACTCCCTTCTTTCGATACTACCTCCATTCATCAGTTTTACACATCATTTCAACTTTTACCCTGCTAGTTTATCCCTTTAGACTTTAAACTCAGACCTTAATGAACACACCTCTGAAACCTTGGGATTCAATACCCGTAAAGCACTGCTGCCGTATTTAAGATCAATCGATCATGGCGACCTCAAATATGACATAGGATCCAGCAACAGAGTTATCTTAGGGGGGACTTACCTATTGTTCTCTCTGGTGTCTCTGCAAGACTCCGTCAGGGATTGATCCTCAGCCAAGGAACAGGACACTGGAATCAAACTGGACTCAGGACTCAAGCTACGTGGGAACAGGTTACATGGCCGACTGACTTGTCACTTATCCAACAATAATCAGAAGGGCTACATGGACTTTAGTTTCCTCTCACAAATGTGAACAGGTAGTTTTATTAAAGTTTCACACGTTATAACCCCACACATCAATAAAAAATGAAATGCGTTTTGCCCAAATACATATTATATCCGAGATCTTTGCCTCAATACGAGTAAGTATACGATCGTCTTCCGTGGCTTGCTAAAGAAGCTGGAGAGTTCAAGTTCGAACTGGGTTCAAAGAGGAACTGCTCTCCGATGTTCTTCAGTCTTCTTTTATCCTCTTCTTTCCCGCGGCTTGTCACATGGTCTGACACGTGGTTTTTCACATCCTTTGCGTGCAAGCTGGTGCATTTAGAGGTGTCCTTCTTCGTTGCTGTGGTTAACTGCTCACTTCCAGCGAGGAAATACATAACAGATGTTCTCCTCGAAAGGGGAAGTACGTACTATAGGTTTTTATGAGTACCTATGTTTTTAAGGATTTTTGTTATACATCCTGTTTATATTGCTAAAGCATTAAACTATACGATACATGACTATGGCATTCAGAGCTTTAACACAGTTTTTAGCATATTTAAGCTTTATATAATAAAATACATTGTTCCATTTTCTTCCTTTCTCCAACAGTACAGACAGAGAGATCAAAATAACGTTTCCCACAAATACAAAAACATGAAATCAAATATCCTTTAAGATTATGAAATACACAGGAAAAAACTCCAAGATTTATGGATAATTCATGAGAAAAGCACTCGGATAGAAACATTTGAAATATTTGTAAAAGAAAATGTAAATAAAATGTCTAAAGAAAGTATTCTGAGTAATTCTTATTACAGGTTTTATAGTTTCATTTTTATATTCCACAAAGTATCTGCTTTGACCGTAGTCAGAGAAACTACTGAATACAGCGGGGCTATACTGGCCCTTTGAGTCAGCCGGGTTGGGTATCAAAATGTCTCTTTCTACGTTAAAACGTTTTTTTGGCTTGTGTAAACATTAGCCAATCAGCAACCAAGGTAACCCCCCCCCACACACCTTATCACCTGAATCACCTCCTAGAGCACCATTGAGTTCTTTGTAACCAAATATCTCTCTGAGGGGCGTGGGGAGGGGCTCCTTATTTTCATCTAAAGTAACAGACAGAGAATTAGCACTTTGGAAACAGGGCTGAAACAGAGGGGATTATGGGATGCTGCAATGATCTGTTTGGTGTTTCAGCCAATCAGAGACAGGCTCTGTATATATCTGAGACCTGTGATATATTGATGAAAAACAGTATAATAGGGGACCTTTAAACATGATCCTTAATAATTGTGTAGTTTAGTTTGACTTTACGAGGTCGACCGGTTGGACTCTGGTTCTGGACCAGCTTGCAGGCCTGGGTCCAGGAGTTCTTGGAGAGAAGGACCGCTTCCTGCCGCAGGACTCAGAGTTCCTGAACATGGAGAAACAGCTTCAGTTATTATGCTCCAAATATCTGGATCAAAGTCACAGAAAGAATGTGTCTGCAGCTCAGAGAGTCCTGCTTGGAACACAGAGATGTTGAGGAGCCCAAAGTGTGATGATAGAAATGTACAGTACGGGTCCCCAGCACATAGAAGCTGCCGGATGCTAACCTGCATATGTTGGGAGAGCTTTACAGATCTGGAGAGTAACTAAGTACATTTACTCAAGTACTGTCCTTAAGTAACATTTTGATGTACTTGTACTTTACTTGAGTATTGCCATTTGATGCTACTGTGTACTTCTACTCCACTACAGTTCAGAGGTAGATGGTGTACTTTGACTCTACATGTATGTAATACCTTTAGTTACTTCACAGATGTGGATGAATGATGTGAAATATAATCAAGTGTTAAATCAGACTTTAGTTCCACCTGGAGTAAATCCACAAGCTACCCTGCAGTATACAAAGTCATTCAAACTAGCTGCACCTTTACCAGCTTTGAGAACACTTTCATGATCAATCATTATAAAACATATCATATATATTATTCTGAAATGGACCAATCTGCACAATGACTACTTTTACTGTCGCTACTTTCACTATATTTTGATGATAACACTTTTCTACTTTTACTTGAGGAACATTTTGAATGCAGGACTTTTTTTCTCCAGAAAAACCATAACCAATAACTACATTTGTAGTTAAACCTCAATAAATAAAGTTCACACGGTACGACCTCTCACCTTTCTGTGTGTCTTCACTTCCTGTCACCTGAGAGGAGAAGGAGAGAGAGAGAGAATCATGATGATAATAAAACATGAAGAGAAACATCCAGAATGATGAAGAGAGAGAAACAAGAGTGTTGTTTTCCTCTGAGGTCATGCTCCATGAAAGAGTTTCATATCTAGATGAATGGAGGATATTCAGTACTCACAGGTCTTCTGGATCGTGGCTCTGATCGTCTCACCTCCTCTGATCCTGTAGGGATGAACACAATCCAACAGTTTTAGATCCAGTTTAAAATAAGTCTTTGTTCTTTGAGTTAGTCAGCTTCAGAGTCCTGACTGATCTCATGCTTTACATCCCATCATATCTTCTCTGCAAACACTACGACTGACTGCTCTCAGCTGCATTACAGGAAGTAACCAGGCATTAGTCTAGAAACTTAAAACATCCCATAACAAACAGACTACCTTTTCCACTCTTCAGTAAAATCCCATGTGTCTGTGAGAGAGTTGATTACTAAATGTCAAGTCAAAGTCAACTTTATTGTCAATCTTCCAGTTTGTGTGTACAGACAGAGAGATCGAAATACCGTTTCCCACAATCCAGAATATAAAAACAATAATATAAAAATATGTGTGCAAATATTTATATATATATACACAGAATCAAAGACACATTTTTACATGTGCACACATCAAGACCTAAATAAAAAAATACAATAATCAATATATACAAAATAAAATGACAGTGGCTATAAATAAATAATAATATATATAAATGTGGCTTTGCATTTTCAGCTGGCCTTCAATAGTTGATGGAAGAATGAAAGAGCCTACAGTCAGTGGGTAACGTCACTGATCTGTTGTGATTCCCCAGTGAGAGAAACACCTCCCTGTGTTTCATACAATACTGCTGAACCAGCAGAGACCCCTTACTGACCTGAGGGTCTCCAGTCTGCAGTCTGGACTCTCCAGAAGATCTCTCAGCAGCTCCACTCCTGAATCCTGCAGAGCGTAGTTTCCACTCAGGTCCAGATCTCTCAGATGGATGTTGGACTTCAGAGCTGAGGCCAGAGCAGAACAGCTGATCTCTGACAAACTGCACCACCTCAGTCTGAATAAAGAAAACATGATGAGGATAAAAATCAGTTTATAATCCAATCAGATGTTCAGGTCTGAAATGTGCAGCTCATCATTACTGCGTCCTAATCAATGATCTTTCCCTGAATAACAGTGACCGTCATTCTGTTATTGAGGATCATCATTATATCAGCTTTCTGTTTATTATCTGTGAAAACACATCTAAATGATTGGGAACTAGGGCTGCACGATTAATCGAATCGCAATCTAAATCGTAATATCAGCTTGTGCGATTACATAACCGCAATAGGCTGGATTGAATTAAATAATCAAATGTGCGTGGTGTAGAGCCGATGAATGGGAGTCGGCGGTGTGTTTAATATGGAACTCCACACTTTATTAGTGGAATGCTGTGCCACAGCATTCCACTATAGTACTTCAAATCTTTATTTTTCCCCTTATTATTATTTCACCAATACTTTGGCTCTCCATAACTTCAGCTTATTTTCAGCTACAGAAACCATTCAAATATTAAACTATTCAGCCTTTGCAGGAATCCATGGGAAACCTTCAACTTTTTAAAAATATGTTATACTTTTTGAAATATTCAGCTTTTTAAACACTTTTTTTAACATGGAAGTCAATGGGAGATGCCTTCAAATCCTCTTTTCCTACACCTTGCGCCAAATGCTACTCCTTCCACATACTTTCAGCTAGACACTTCATTCCAACTTTCAAATGATCACAACACCTTCAGCTAAATTCTTATTCAGATTTTTGATATCTTTGACACTTTTTGAGATATTTAACTTAGTTTGGAGCTTGGTAGAGAGGCCTTTTTCAGATTTTAACATTAGTGTGGATGGAGCAGCTCGTTAAGTCTAGAGTGCTTTGATCTCAAAACAGAGTGCAGCAGTGCTTCAAATTCCCCCCCAAAAATGTTTTGAACTTGCCATAATTCCCAGACATCTTTTTTCATGAAAAACTTAGGAAAACCTCTCCTAGGTTGGAAAATTAAAAAAAATTAAGAAAAAATATTAAACAAAATGCCTCTTGAGGGCATGAAGAGACAAAAAGTCCAGCTAGCCCCCACATTTATCAGTTCATTGGGGTTCCCTGATGCTCATGGTCTGGTAATTTTTTGATAGGACCAATAGTTTTTGAACAGGTGGCAAAATTGACAGATATAATCCTCAATGCATTCTTAATGGGACTCAGTGCTGCAGTTGGTAAATCGTCATAAGTCATCACCATGGTAACCTTTGATCTATGGGTTTACACACACAGGTGTTTGTAAACATTCATTCACTACTACTTACATTTAATATCTTTATTTAACTCCTTCAGCCTAATTTCAGCTACAGAAACCATTCAAATATCAAACTATTCAGCCTTTTCAGCACATGATGGGAAACTTTCAACTTTTTCAAAATATGTTATACTTTTTAAAACATTCAGCTTTTTAAAGTCTTTTTTTTAACATGGAAGTCATTGCAATGCATTTGAGCTGTAACAATTCACACACACACACTCTCTCTCACAGACAGACAGACACACACTCTCTCTCTCTCACACAGACACATCAAGAGAAGAGAGAGAGGGCGATCAAGAGAAGAGAGAGAGGGTGATAGAAGAGTGATAGGGTGATCAAGAGAAGAGAGAGAGGGCGATCAAGAGAAGAGAGCGAGGGCGATCAAGAGAAGAGAGAGGGCGATCAAGAGAAGAGGGTAATAGAAGAGTTAGAAGGTGATCAAGAGAAGAGAGAGAGGGCGATCAAGAGGAGAGAGAGAGGGCGATCAAGAGAAGAGAGAGAGGGTGATCAAGAGAAGAGAGAGGGCGATCAAGAGAAGAGAGAGAGGGCGATCAAGAGAAGAGAGAGAGGGCGAGCAAGAGAAGAGAGAGAGGGCGATCAAGAGACGAGAGAGAGGGCGATCAAGAGAAGAGAGAGAGGGCGATCAAGAGAAGAGAGAGAGGACGATCAAGAGAAGAGAGAGAGGGTGATAGAAGAGTGAGAGGGTGATCAAGAGAAGAGAGAGAGGGCGATGAAGAGAAGAGAGAGAGGGCGATCAAGAGAAGAGAGAGAGGGCGATCAAGAGGAGAGAGAGAGGGCGATCAAGAGAAGAGAGAGGGTGATCAAGAGAAGAGAGAGGGCGAGCAAGAGAAGAGAGAGAGAAGAGAGAGAGGGCGATCAAGAGAAGAGAGAGAGGGCAATAGAAGATTGAGAGGGTGATCAAGAGAAGAGAGAGGGCGATCAAGATAAGAGAGAGAGTAATGTAACCTCCTAATGTAATGTATAACTCCTATGAAAATGTTCAAAAAGTGCTCAAACTTCACATGTGTGCTAACAGTCCAGCCGTGAAGACATCTACGGGACAGTTTTGAGATTTCTTCAAATGCCGTTGCCATGGCAACACAATGCTCACCATGAAACACGGTTTTCTCATAACTTCAGTGAAAATGCTCGAAATGGCCCAAAACTTCACAGGTTTGGTAACGATGCAGCCATCAACACATCTAAGCGTATTATGGGGTGTCATCAAATGCCGTTGCCATGGCGACAGATAATTCACCATCAAGTTAGTTCAAAAGTTTGCAGTTCAAATATTCTGCTGCTTTCCCAAGCCTTTTTACTTTCTTTTCTCATCTTAATACAAATTCATTCACTACTACTTACATCTGATATTTAACTCCTTCAGCCTATTTTCAGCTGCAGAAACCATTCAACTATTACATTATTCAGCTATTTCAGGACATCAAGGCTATACATGTTGTTGTTTATACCTTTTTTTAAACCTTTTCTTTAACCTGTTAAGCCCCGAGCCTGTTTTTCAGGTTTCAGGCTCGAAAATGACATGCCCAAAACAAATGACCACAACTTCACTTCTAAAAGGGTTATATGAATAATTTCTTTTATCAAAGCAAGGTTACATCTGTGAGATGGATGTAGAACTGTCACAATCAATATAGATTTTTCTCAGTCAGAGTAAATTCAGATAGAACATAGTAAAAAAAGTACATTCTTACCTCCGCCTAAAGAAAAAACATTACTTATAGTGAAAACTACCCTTGGATGATGGGTTAGTAGACTAAAAGCATTAGAAATCCAAACTATAACATATAATAAGTACCCTGTATCAAGATTGAGGCAAAACAAGTTAAATTTGACCTTTTTAGAGAGGTTTAGCAAAAAGAAGTTCCAGGCGGAATAAGCTTTCGGCACATTTGGGTACATCTGGTTCCATCAGTGCCATTTGACCTTTTTCAGGTACCAAACTATAAAAATGATGTATTACATTGAATTATCACCATAGGTATTCATTCCATCAAAATAATTTTTTTTTTTTTTTTTTTTTTTATTTGTGAAAAAAAAAAAGACCCGCCGACGGGGGCTTTGGGGCTTATCAGGTTAAATATTAAGCTTTTTCTGCATTTTTGTAGCTAAAAGCAGCTACCATTCAGCTAATAACATATTCAGCTTTTTCTGCATTTTCAGCTAAATTCAGCCACAAATGTTCACAGTTTACAGCATTCGCACGCATGTTCTGTAGGAAATGCATTTTCTAATTTTACATTGAACTACACACACAAGAACGTGCTAGCTGCATGCTACTGTGAAGCTGGAATGCTAACAACAGGAAACCGGAACACCGGAACACCAAGTGTAGCATATCCCTCCGAAAGACGGTCGTATCATAAATTATCATTACACCTGGGTAAAACAGAGTCCATTCTCTTCGGTTCGAAACATAATCTCAGCAAATCCGACGACTTCTCAGTTGCAGTGGGTGACATTATTGTCACAAGTAAGAAGGAAATTACATACCTAGGATCTATTCTTGAGGCAAACCTCTCCTGTGACAAAATGGCATCCAATGTAATAAAAAAAGTCAATCAAAGAACTAGATTCCTATACCGGATCTCCTCTCTGGTAAACAAAAACACCCTGAAAACTCTGGCAGGAGCACTCATTCAAGGGTACTATGACTATGCTTGCACGTCATGGTACCATAGCACCTCCAAGGCGCTAAAAATAAAACTTCAAACATCGCAAAATAAACTGGTCAGACTACTGCTTGACCTTTCATCTAGAACCCACCTCACCTCTGCCCACTTTGACAACCTAGGATGGCTTAGAGTAGACGACAGAGTACAGCTACTTGCAATGGGCCTGGTCTACAAGATCCACTACACCTCTATGGTACCCATGTACATGTCAAAATTCTTCCCAAAGGTCAAGGAATACCATGATCATAACACCAGAGGGAGCTCCACAAATCATGTAAAACCCAGATTTGGCACAAAAAAAGGGGAATACACGTTTCGCAATTATGCCACATCAAGGTGGAACGCTCTTCCCACAACTGTAAAGGAAAGTAAAACTATACTTACCTTCAAAACCTCTCTTAAAGAGCACCTTCGGGGGAAAGCATTGCAAAACTGGCCCCGGTAATGGTACAAATCTCAACCTGTCGTACAATGGACAGCTTCCCCCCCCCATCTATGTATATACTCGCATTTTAGACTCTGTTACTAACTGTATATCTGTAGACTTGGTATGTCTTAAATGTCCGGTTAGGATGTATTAGAACGAAATCTAAAATGAAAATTGTAAATAAGCCATCTGTATGTAAAAAACCACCTGTATGTAAATTGTAAATAAGCCATCTGTATGTCAAATATGTCTTATATGTCTTAAATGATATGATGAATTGGAAATGGGGGACCCTGATGTAAACAAGACGAAAGTCTTTCTCTGGTCTGCATCCCCTTAACAATTGTATGTTTTTGAGCTGTACTGTACTGTACCCAATATACAAGCTGTTAATAAACTTTTCAATCAATCAATCAATCAACACTTGACTGATGATTTTTAATTTATTGAAAACT